GTGACAAATTTAAGTCTTTAATGATCCACAAATACAATCTCCGTTCATAAGTATACGACTCTCTAGAAAGTGTGTAATAAAACCTTTTTTTTAAGATAGTGATACATAAACAAGTATTTGTGTTGGGTGGATAAAAACAATATACTAAGAATTGTTATGTAAAATAGTTTAAAATATGCGTCCCATAATATAAGATCGTTTTGCAAGCTGTTTTAGCTTGCAAAACGATCTTATATTATTGGATGGGGGGAGTATTAGTCAAAGATACATGTTAAAGAAGTGTCAACGTTTAAAATGTCATCTATTTACAAAGAGAAGGAGTATTTCCATATTCTCATTGGTCAAATCCGAGTAAAGAAATCAAAACTAACAAAGAATTGTGTTGATTTGGTAAATGTGCATCACTGTTCCATCTTTATTGAGAATCAACTTGTCTTCCGTAAGTAACTATAGAACCTTTAGTTCGACATAGACTAGACTATGCGTGGTGGAAATTGTTCAAAATACAATCTAGTATGTCCTATGATATATTCATATCAATATAGTTAATCGCCTCTATTAGCAATATTTCTAATTCTAAGAACCACAACCATCATTTTCAGGACATACTTGGAGCTGCCACGGAAACCACGGGGCTTGTTTTGGCATGGACTATGTCAGAGCTCATGAATAGTCCTGAAGCCATGTCTAAGGCGCAGCTAGAGGTCAGGGGGTTGCTAGGACAAGATAAAGCTATCATTACTAATACCCACCCCCTCGTTGAACTCCACTATATGCAGATGGTCATCAAGGAGGTTCTTAGATTGCATCCGCCAAGTCCTCTTGTGGCCCGTGCAGCTAGAGAAGATTGTCAAATTATGGGCTATGACATTCTTAAAGGCACAACTGTATACGTTAATGTCTACGCAATCTCCCGAGACCCTAAATACTGGGAAAATCCAGGAAGTTTTAAGCCAGAAAGGTTTGAAACTAAAAACATGGATTACAATGGGACATACTTCGAATTCACTCCCTTTGGTGCTGGGCGGCGACAATGTCCCGGGATGTTGTTTAGCTCCGCAATTATGGAGATTGTATTGGCAAACTTTCTTTATCACTTTGACTGGAAGCTTCCCGATGGAGCCGGCCCGGCGTCACTGGACATGTCCGAGAAATTTGGGTTAACTGTGGGCAGAAAGTTTGACCTACAACTCAAAGCCACTCCACAAGTCTGGTCTAATAATATGGAGATCTAGATTATGTGGTGATGCATGTCGACATACCTGTGCCATGAAGCATCACATTGTACCTTTATGCATTAGAATAAGGAAAACACGCTGCATAGAACAACATCTTCTATCTACGTGGTCAAGCATGGATGATCATATTTTGTTCTTTGCCTTTGAAGTGTTGAATAAAGCATAAATTTTGCAATAAATAAATTCAATGGTACAAATACAAGATTCACACAAAGTTGAGAACATGCATCGCGCACAGTTTTAGAGGGTTGAGGAAGGTCTCTGAAACGTGTTGTGCAAGGAATAGTTGTGTGCGATGTAGGGGTTTATTGCACATGGTTTGTGTTTCTAAACCGTGTGGACCAGAACTATGCCTGAACATGTGCGGTAGGGAGGTCTGGCTCACATGGTCAGAAACAAGGAAACATGTGCGACTAGGCGGGCAATACACACGTCGCGGAAAGAATAATTGTGTGCGATGTAGAGGTTTCATTGAACATGCATGGTTTGTGTTTCTAAACCATGCGCAACTCAATGACCATTACAAAATGTTTATTTTCCTATAATTTAGTCCATGCAATAAGAAAATTCGCTAATAATTTGAACGTAATACATATATGAAACATAACATATTTCATATTCATCAAACATATCCAACATAAACTCAAGCACCATATGAACAACACCATATAGTTTCAAAAGCACAAAGCGGTGAATGTCTCGAAGATACTGGTGAAGATTCAGATATCCAAGATCAATAGGAGGGCTAATATGGTGGCTCATGAGATTGCTAAGCTCAGTTTTGATAATAGGTCTGATGGAATTCTTTTCAATTTTGTTCCGCCCTGTGTGGCTAATTTTGTAATGAATGATTGTACGAACATTTTAAGTTAATTAATACATGGTGGGGTGGGTTTTAAAAAAACGGTAGCACTTCACACTTGAGTACAAAACCATAAATATCATCAACATCTTAAATAGGTAAGAGGCCCATATTGTTTCCTCCTGGATGTGTCCAACCACTTGTGATGATCACCTGCCCCTCATTTTTATACATATTGATGGGAACTTCAAAATCAGCATCATGCTACGGGTGAAATACTTGTAAGTTCCATATCTAATCATGAAGGTAGTGTCAGAGGTTATCCAAAGTGTACTTCAATGAGAAGTGCCAAGAAGGAAAAAAACAGATATTGTTATTTCAATTGTTGTGCATAAGAAATAACTTGGATAGCTAGTTCGTACCATCCTATATTTGACTATTGTCTTGTTTATTGTGCAAACATAAGAGTGGAACAACTTGTCTCCTTCAAATGAGCTTTCTAGTATGTTTACTTCTTGCTTGTCCACGAAGATCTTATTGTCCCATGTACAAAAATGGTTTAACACGATCAATACCCGTGACATTGGGAGAAACATGACGCAGCAAATATTAGATTAGTATCCACATTTGCATAGTAATGTACTATAATCCAAAGGACCAAACATATCCTGATGATAACTCCAATTGTCATACAAAAAATTCGAAACATAAAAAAATGGATGAACAATTTCCTCAAATACATTTGCCGCATCGGTTTCTTGAGCTAGGGCTTGGAGATGGAGGCCGAAGCGGGCAGTGTAGGAGGTGAAGAAGGGGATGATGACGAGGTAGCAGAGGAGGAGATGTGTGGCATAAGACGGCAGTGCCCCTGGGTCGTGGCAGAAGAAGGTGGCGGCGCGGGATCCCAACTTGCCGGCCGTGGGCAGGCACCGGTCGCGGCAGCAATGGGGTGGTGGTGGTGGTAGGGCAGGGGCGTGGGGTGGAAGTTGGTGAAATTTCAGCCAACCAATACGGGAAGGTGATCTTCCCGTAAACCTGCGATGAGAAAAGACCTCTCTTACGAGATCCTCTAAAATTAAGGCCAGTTTGCTGGAACTGTTGGAGAGTTTTTTTGCCTTAACTTCACGTGTTAATTTAGAGATAAGGAAATTCTTGGAGATGCTCTAAGCATCTCTCGCCAATCTGCTAAAATCTGGTACTACAAAATCGTTTTAGGGTTCCCCCGAAAAATGATTTTGCGGGAACGCGAAGGCCACGGCGGAACAAATCCTGTAAATCTCGTGCTGCAAATTTAAAAACATATTTGTGCTAGGAAATAGTTCATCACAACCATAGTGCATACATAGAAAATTAAACATCTTTGCCCCACAAAGTAAACATAAAGTCGAAGGTCACTTGTCGACGCCAAGGTAGAACTGCACCTCGGACTTGCGAAGCGCGTTAGCGAGGTCGTCCTCCTCCTTGACGGCGGCGAGACGGTCGGCGGCACCTTCTTCTCCGGCCGCCAAAGCCTTCTCCGCGGCGATGAGCTCCGCATCGACCTCCCGGCAACTCTGGAAATGCGGAAAGAGTTGGTCGTGGAGCTCGTAGTAGCCGGCCCAAGGGCTCCACCCGCAACTCTGGGAGAGTCGGTCGCGGTCGCGTGCTTGCTTCGAGCACCATGGCTCGATGACGAGTTGGCTGGAGCTGCCGGACTCCGCGTCATGCTATGGGAGCTTGCGTGGAGGTGACCCGCCACGCCCGTCATGCCTATCAGCACCACCGACCATCGTGGAGAAGAAAGAAAAAAAGGTGGAGAAGCGGCATGATTTGTTGCTGGAGTTGGGGAGGTCTAGCGGCGGCGCTGGCGGATTGTGATGGAGGCGATAGGGTTTGCTAACCCTAAAACCCGGCCGACCCCGTACATACATCGGCAGAGGGAAGGATTTGCGGGTTGTCTATAAAAAATTAATAGGTCGGGCTTCACTTAGTGAATCTATTCATGCTGGAAAAAACAAAAATCCTACTATCGAAATTTTAAGGGCATGGAGTTTTCATATGATCCACTACAGATGCTTTGAGGACCGTTCACATTAACACTGATATTCCCCCCAACTCCCCATCCTGGTGTTTTGACCCTTTTGTCAAAGTTAATCAAGATCTGATCTCAGTTTGCAATTTTTTTGAGATCTGACCCTTTTGCTACCGCCATGGCGGTAGGGTGTAACAAGCCTACCGCCAGGGACCTTGATGGTAGGAAACATCCCTACCGCCAAACAGGCTGGCGGTCAGCCTGTGCATTCGGTTTTTTCGGTTTGATTCGGTTCGGTTTATACGGTTATCGGTTTATATGGTTTTTATACTTCGGTTTATACGGTTTTATACATAGATACGGTTTGGTTTCGGTTGTAACCGTTTGCTTTCGGTTCGGTTTCGGTAATAACCAAATTAACCAAAGTTGACGCGAACTTCTGATCAACACATGGTTTTGCTACATGAAGAAACAAATTTAGTACATGTCCAATACAAGTAGGGGGTACAAGCACAGCCTAGTGACGTGTTTGAAGAAATTCTAGACAATTTATGTTCCAGTACAAAGCACTTATAGTACATACAAGCACAATCCAGTACAAGGTCAAGACTCAAGACTACAAGTACAAGCAGTCAAGCACCAGCAGAACTGCACAATAACACAAGGCACAAATCAATCTAGTACAAGCACTTAGTACATGTCCAGTACAACAACATGAAGAAATTCTGGAACAACAACATGAAGATAATAAACTCCATTACAAGTTCATATAAAATTCTGGCGCATAAGCTGAGTACAGGTACAATAAATTCTAGAACAAGCAAGTTCAACACAGCCAAAGTTCAACATAGCGCAAAATGGGTTCAACACATGACTGATGACACACACAAACTTCATCACTTCAGGCAGCAACTTGCACAAGTTTCCACTCCAGTTCCACACATGAAGATCAATCAATCGATATTACACCATTATCGTCCAATCGAAGGGCTCCCACACCTACAAAAAGTAACAGAAATATTGCATGATCGAGTAAATAACATAAATTTTGCATGGTCATTGAAATAACTGAAATGCACACCCATTTAAGTACCTTCCTCCAGTTTGGTCAACTCAGCAAGATCGAGTTCAACATTGATAGGCTTACTACGCAACCAATCTTGCGTACATATCAATGCTTGGAGTGTCACTGGTGTCAAAGAGCTTCTGAAGTCATCAAGAATACGGCCACTAGTGCTAAAAGCTGATTCAGAAGCAACCGTTGAGATGGGGATTGCTAGTATATCACGAGCCATTTTTGACAGGACAGGAAAGCAAGCAGCATTCAACTTCCACCACTCAAGAAGGTCAAATTCTGCAGTCAACTCTTCGGTATCCTCAGCTAGGTACTTGTCTAATTCAGTTCTCATATTTGAGCTAGTGCTACCCTCTCCACAAGATCTCATTCTCTTCTTGTTGTAGCATGACCTCATAAGAGAATTTTCAGAAGCATTTTCACTAGCACGAGCTTGTGATGCTAATTCACTAGTAGAACTGGTTTCATACAATTCTTTGTATTCTCCAAAAAGAGAGACAAATTCGTTGTGTGAAGAAGTCAAGATTCTGTTACCTATTATACAACCATAGGTGTCTTCAATCATGTCCTTAAATAAATGAGATTCCTTGGTCCTTGCATAAAGAATTAAGACAAGACAAGGCAAGCTAGAAAGACATTAAAAACAACATACATATAGTTGACAAAAGAACAACAACCAGTCAACCACATACCTAGGATCAAGGATGGCGGCAATGAATATATATTTGTTCATCTTTTCAGGATCACCCCAATACTTCTCATACTTCGCTTTCATCTTGAGAGCCATGCATTTAAATATTTCATCATCACCACAGATCACATGATCACTCCATTCACCCAACAAAAAGTTAACATCAGCAATCTCTTCCAAGAAGGTGTTGGCTGTAACATACTTGGTGCCAGAAACCTTATTCGTGAGGTCATAGAAGTGTTGGAGGAATTGTTTGAACTCACGAACATATACCCAATCACTTTGAGTTGGAGGACCCCGTTGGTCAAGAGCATCGGGCTTAGGTTCTGGACCAGTTTTTTCTAACTCGGTCTTGTAGTTGGGATCATGAAGTGCATATTGCTCAAATGCCCTCTCAAATTTCTCAACATTGTCTAGCATTACAAATGTAGAGTTCCATCTAGTAGCCACATCAATATTAATCAAGCCTTTGCTCGCTACCTTGCTTAGTTGCACACACTTCTTAAATACATCCAGTCTAGTTGGGGAGGCTCTAACAAACTTGATAGCATGGCGAATTCTGTTTACAGGATGGCATATTATCTTTAGCCCATCTTGAACCACAAGATTAACAATGTGAGCCACACACCTCATGTGAAGATATTGACTTCTTGCATGTGTGCAGCCCCTATTAGTCAAAGATCTCTTCATGTAGGCTAAGCAGGTGTCATTAGAACTCGCATTATCTACTGTAATAGTGCACACTCGTTCAATGCCCCACTCAATCAGTAATTTTTCTAACGATTTCCCAATATCGTCCCCTTTGTGTCCATCTACCAAGACAAAGCTAATAATTTTTTTCCTAAGGTTCCATGAAGAATCGATGAAATGTGCAGTAAGAACCATGTAGCTTTGCTGTCTTTTTGATGTCCATGTATCAGTGGTGAGGCAAACAGTTTGACGTGAATCGATGAAATACTTTCTAAGCATAGCTTTCTCAGTTTCATAAAGAGCAATGATATCTCTATACATAGTGGTCCTAGATGGCACATTGAACCTAGGGCAAGCTTTAGACATGAAGAACCTAAATCCTTCTTTCTCTGCAAATATGAACGGAAGCTCATCTATCACTATCATGCGAGCAAATGCTTCTCTAACTTCTTTCTCATTGTATTGCCAAGGAACCACAGAATTGCCATCATCGCAAACTTGGTAGGTAAGCTCGGTCTGATTGCTACCGATGTGGGCAGGATTCTTTTTGCAAATCTTCAAATGGTTTACTAAAGAAGCAGTACCTGCCGATGTGGATTTGCAGCCTAATATAGCACTACAATAGTTGCAGTTTGCATGATCTGGATCATCGTTCTGAATTGTGAAGTGTGCCCATGCCTTTGACCTCTTGTTCCTTTTCTTGCTAACACTGTCAGGGGTAACATCAGGTTGTGTTTCAGGTAAGGAAGAGGAACCATGACTAGCAGCATAACCAGCACCAAGATTGACACTATCGGACACCTGAAGAAATAAGTTAGGTAGTTCCCATTCAGATTAGTACTAACAACAGAACCAACAGTGGAAAGTAATGAAATAATTGTTCAGTAGCAAACAGACACTACTGCAACTGAACGAAAGTGCTTGTTTTTCTCAGCCAGTAGCCCACTACTAGTTACTACTGCAGCCGAACTAGCAAATGCTTTTTTTTCTCAGCCACTCCTACTGCAAGTCTGCAACCAAACTGAACCAACTAATGTATGTATCATGAGATCAGGGAGATGCTATGCTACTGAACAAGTATCCAACCAGATCGAACTAAAGGTCAAAGAATGGGCTTACCATGATGGCGTCCACGGCTCGTGTTGCTCCGTGGAAGCGTGCGTCGGCGAGCACGACGGCGGACGGAGCCGCGGAGGTCAGCGAGTCTGTGACTCAACAACGTGGAGGAAAGAGGGCGGAGCCGGAGGTCAGCGGCGATGCGGAGGACGGATGGCGGAGGTCAGCGTCGCCGGTGTGTGCGATGGAGGACGGAAGGCGGAGATGGACGGAGGCACGGAGCTTCGCCTGCTGGGGGGTGGAGCCGCGGAGGGGGCGGATGGATGCGCCGGACGACCGGAGTATGACCTAGCTAAGCTAGGGCGCCGCCGCCGCCACCCATATTCTGCTCTGCGCGGCTGGCCTCTCTCGGTCTCTTTCCTCTGCGTCAGGGACTGGGGTCTGGGACTGGGCCACTGGGGGTGTCGCTTGTGAGTTGCCCTAGGGGCTAGGGCAATTGGGCTAGGTTGAAGGAATAAAGGAGAAGGCCCAGTTTGGCTGGCCGACTGGGCTTGTAATTTTTTTTTGTTGCTGGGCTTTCGGTTTAGTTCGGTTTAACCAAAAATATTCGGTTTCAAACCAAAAAAACCGAATTGAGTATGGTTTTCGATTTTGTAAACTGAAACCATAACCAAAACCTGAAAAAACTGAATTTTCGGTTCGGTTTAGTTTTTTCGGTTCGGTTTTTGGTTTTCGGTTCGGTTTTGCACAGGGTGAGCTGGCGGTAGGCTGTACAACCTTACCGTCAAGGTATCCGGCGGTAGGCATGAGCACGCACTGTGTTCCGTACTTAGAAAAAAATTACAATAGAACATGCAACCCTACCGCCAGTAAAAAAAAAGGTCAGATCTCGAAATTTCTTCAACGCAGGGTCAGATTTGACCAAGTTTCGCAAAAAGGGTCAAAACGCGAAATTTAGCCCATCCTGGTCGCTAGCGCGGGGCAGGCTGCAACAGAGCGGAGCCACTAATCTGGTGACCTCCGGCGAGCTCGCATCCTTGGACCTCGGTCGCCGATCTGCTCTGCAATCCCTCCTCCGCCCCACGCTGCAACGGAGCGACCATCTCGGTGAACTCCGGCGAGCTCACCTCGCCTCCTTCAGGTTTCAGCACAAGTCATCCATCTGCTCCACGATTCCTTCTCATCCCCACCCCCACCCTCCAATGGAGCCACTGAGCTAACTCGGGTGAGCTCACCTCGCTTTCTGAAGGATCCAGCCTCAATCGTCGATCTGCGCCGCCGCCACTTCTGCCCCCGCGGCTCTCCACCCGCAAGCACGGCGATCTGACCCACCCTACCCCCACCCACCCAGACGCATCGAAGTGCGGCGGCGCACTTGAAGCGAAGAGATGGCGGTGACGATGGCGAGCGTATCCACCGGCGTGATGAACTCCCTCCTCGGGAAGCTCGCCACGCTGATGGGGGATGAGTACCGCAAGATCAAAGGCGTTCGGAACAAGGTAGCGTCCCTTCTGGACGAGTTCAGTAGCATGAGTGCTCTGCTTGTGAAGCTCGCAGGCATGGATGAGCTTGACGTTCAGGCCAGGGAGTGGAGGGACCAAGTCCGGGAGATGTCATACGACATTGAAGACTGCGTCGACGATTTCATGCGTGACCTCGGACAAAAAGGCGCAACCACTGGCTTTCTGAAGAAGACTGCCGAGCGCCTGAAGAAGCTCAGGGTGCGCCATCAGATGGCCAACATGATCCGTAGGATCGAGACTCGTGTAAGTGAAGTGCATGACCGGCGCACGAGGTACAAAATTGATGAGTACGCCCCGTCATCTGGCATTGTCGCTGTCGACCCAAGAGTGATTGCCATCTATGCTGAGGCGGCCGGTCTTGTGGGCATCGATGCTCCAAGAGACGAGCTCATGAAGATGTTGATGGTTGAAGGGAAAGAGCTGAGGGTGGCTTCTATTGTGGGATTCCCTGGTCTTGGAAAAACCACACTTGCAAATGAAGTGTACCGTAAGCTTCAAGGACAATTTGATTGTCATGCATTTGTTTCGGTGTCTCAAAAACCAGATATGCCGAACCTTCTCAGTAATTTGCTACTGAAACTTGCGGGGCAACACTCTTCTCAAATGGGCAAGTTGGACGATACGATCACCGGTATCAGGGAATATCTGTCGAATAAGAGGTAACCGTTCTTGTTTGTGTTTACTATTTGTTTATTACTAAATACGACTAGAAACATCATGATTGGCTCCTAAGAATTGAACCGATTTGATTGGGTAGATTTTAAATCCTTCTCTACTAGCATTTGATTAAAAAGATTGCTAAATGTTTCAATTGGAACTGAAACCTATCCAGTTGTGATTATATTTTCTCTGTTTGGGTGTCACATGGAAATGAAGTTCTCATTTCCTAAAACATTGTATTTGGAATTTCATCCTCGCGGTCACACCATACAGTTTTAAGAAAATTAAATTGAATTTTTTGGACATTGGTGAGAACTTTTGGGAGTTTCTTTTGGTGGGCCTAGGGGCAGAACCCTTTCCAGATTAGCCACTTTTGAAAGAACCTTGGCATGGTAGCTTAGTTCATTATTAGACAAAGCCTTCACAAGCATAACAAGTTATTGTCATCATGAATGGAGTTACTACCTAGGTGAGGTCCTAACATTTGCCCATTCACTTAACTTTCTGGAAATGGTTATTCAGTGGTTCAGGTGTGCATGGGTTTTGGAGTTCTATATCCAAAAAAAAACATTTTTTGCTACTAATATGTTATAGATTGCAAGTAACAGGGGCCACATTGCTTTAAAAGAATTTAGGGCCACAGTGCTCCCATGCAGCACAATAACACATATTTGATTATTACTCCCTCTGTTCCGTATTAGTTGTCCCTGATTTATAAATCAGCGACAACTAATATGGAACGGAGGAGTAGATGAGAATGAAAAAAGAAAGAGATATAGCTTCACATATTTATCATCAACATGAGATGTGTACACTTAGCATACCCACATGTATCCTAATCAAACTGAACTACTCCCAAAGTGCATTTTTGTTGCCTTCTACAGTTTACCACAATTTTAGTCCACAAGTGTGGCAAACTGCAGTAAATTGGTCCCAGCACTTGTGTCAAAGTTTGGCTAAAAAGTAAGTCTATGACAGGTGAGTTACAATCTAGAGAAATGTAGCAAGTGGCATGCCACAATGGTGGTGGCTACAACCAAACTCTTGCTATACTTATGTTCCAAAAGGTTCGGCATGTGTGCTGCAAATCAATTATATGTATCTTTTTGTTAGATAAATGTTGACACATAAAAGAAATTACTCCGGAATATTTCCCTTGACACTTGCAAACATCATGAAGACTCATCTGCAAAATCCAGTGGGAAGAAAACAGGAGAAAAGAGTGCACAGACACATGATTTACACTGCACATATTGTTTGAAAATTCCATGTTTCTGAACTACTAAGGATATATGGTTTGCTAAGTGAAGTACACCCATTTTTTACCCTGATATATGATAAATTACAATCCTAGGAGAAAATTCAGATTGTTTTGGAGCTCGGAAAATGCTCTTGAACATGGGATGTGGTGGCAGCTAGTAACCTAATTCACTTTCTGAGTTTCTACTCCCTCGAGCTTGTGTAGCACACAAGTGAGCAAACAAATGGGATACTCAGTAAAAACCCTGGCAATGTTATGTATCCCTCCAAGGATGGGAAAGGTTTCAGCTACGTGTCAAACCTGACTTTTCCCTTAGTTGACCAGATTCAGGAAATCAGACTCAGTGATCACCTTTCTGCAGGACCATTCAGAGATCACCTTTCTGTAGGACCATTCAGTGGCCAGCTTTGCTCCAGTAGTCCAGTTCGGGACGGTAAGGCTTTTGGTTATCCAAACGCTACTATCCTGTGTGTGTCATACATAAGAAATACACAAGCACCATCTCTAATCACTCCCCTTACCGCACCTTGGTACGCAATCATGTTAGAACGGTTGGCACAGAAATTACCATCCAGAATAATCTATCTGGCTAAGGCATTGATCTGTGACACCTGATAAGCATTCGGTTTTACACAGTCATTACAGTCATGTCTTTGACTGAATGTGTATCAAGTTGCGGTTGGCACAGAAATTACCATCCAGAATAATCTATCTGGCTAAGGCATTGATCTGTGACACCTGATAAGCATTCGGTTTTACAGTCATTACAGTCATGTCTTTGACTGAATGTGTATCAAGTTGATTTTATGTTAGCTTTTGCTGGTGAGAATCTTCCCTTTCATGTTTATTTCATCCATTGAGTCCTTCAGTGAGCTCAACACTTTGCTTAAAAAAATAAAACTCACCACAACAAGTTACATATACTGTCGAACCGTCATTACCTGTTATCTTTTTATTAACTCATCACAAAGGACTGAAAGCAATGTGGTGCCCAGGTGTGATTTATTTATGGTCTCTTTGGATTGAAGAATTTTCATATGAATTTTGTAAAATCCCAATCCATTGGAATTTTTTCTATACAGGTCCTTTGGATCAAAGGAATGATATCTGCTCTGACTCCCTAATTCCATAGGATTTGTAGCAAGAGGTTACTTCATGGGAATTTTCCTTTCTGTCTTGCATGGACCTTATCTCTATTCAAATTCCTGTGGAGCATCCAAAGAGCCATGTTTGCAAATTTCTGTATTCTTATTTATTGTAGGATTTGGCAAGTCATGGTATCTCAATCCTACCTTTTTAGTATTCTTACGTGATTAGAATCATGTATTCTAAAGAGACCCTCAGCTTTTTTGCACTCTAGTACATGTTGCCATGCGATTTGACATGGGCATGCTTTTTTTAAAGGAGACACGTTTTTTGTCTCTGATTGTGGGAAGAGGCGTGCACATTCTGTAATTTACACTTATGCTTCAGATAGATATAGATGAAGCAGGGCTAAAACATATCCTGTTTCCTTAAGCGCAAGCCGACTTAGTTATAATAAGTACTTTTAATAAAATTGCACATTTATTATGACATGTGCAATTATTTCATGGACTATGCAACACACTTTTTTTTTTGGTATTTTTGTTGTTGTCTTGAGTAGGGTTCACTCTTTCTGTAGTTTCTTTATTTCTATTTCATCGTTTTTTTGTTCTCTGTTTTAAAAAATATATGAGATGAATAGGCTGGCTGAATGGTTATTTACTGTGTTTTAAGATAAATGCAATCAACTTTGGAGGAGATGCTCTTATATAAGCATTGCTTCCAATTTTACTATTGACTAACCTTTTTACTGTCTGTGATTTTATTCGCAGGTACTTAATCATAATTGATGATTTATGGGATTCGCTTGCATGGAAGGTTATTAGATGTGCTTTTCCAGAAAACAGTCGTAGCAGTAGAGTGCTAACAACTACAAGGATTTACTCTGTTGCCGCTACTTGTTGCTCTAATAGCAAAGAGTATGTTTATAAGATGAAATCATTGGATGACCAGGACTCAAGAAGACTATTTTTTAGTAGAGTATTTGGTTTTGGAGAACCTTGCCCTGTCATATATGCGGAGCTTTCAACAGATATTTTGAAAAGATGTGGTGGTTTGCCCCTTGCCATTATCAGTATATCAAGCCTTCTTGCAGGTCAATTGAAGCCAATGTGGGAATATGTAAGGAATTCCTTGGGATCCATGTTTGAAGGCAATCCTACTCTAGAAGAAATGAAACAAATATTGGACCTTAGCTACAGAAATCTTCCTCACCATCTAAAGACATGCCTGCTTTATCTTGGTATGTATCCAGAGGATTACGAGATAATGAAGAATGACTTGTCGAGGCAATGGATAGCTGAAGGTTTCGTGAGTTCAATCAATGGGCTAGATGCAGAGGATGTTGCAGGGAGCTACTTCAACGAGCTCATCAACAGAAGCATGATCCAGCCTGTGGAGAAGGACTGTAATGATGAGGTGTTGTCGTGCAGAGTACATGATGTAATGCTTGATCTTATCAGATCCAAAAGCACAGAAGAGAATTTTATTACTGTAATGGATCACCAACAAATTGTGACAGGGATGAACAAGCAGATCCGTCGAATATCACTCTGCAACGGCGGTGAAGAACGCGGTGTGATGCCGGCGATAACCAGCGAGTCACTATCAAGAGCTCGCTCAGTCGCAGTTTTCAGAACCGTTTTCTGGCCTAGTTTACTGGGGTTCAAGTATGTTCGAGTTCTACACCTTGAATATCCAAAAAGTGGAAGGCTGGATCTTACTGGTATGTGTGGGTTGTTTCTACTAAGATATGTAAAGATAGCCTGTGATTACAATACAAGTTTGCAGCTACCTAGTCAAATCGGGGAGCTAAGGCAATTGGAGACTTTTGATTTACAGTGGTCACCGCTGGTGAGCATTCCACCAGATATCGTTGGTTTGCCCCGGTTGTCGCATTTGGTTGTCCCAAAATGTACTTTGTTGCCTGATGGGATTGGCAGCTTGAAGTCACTGCGCACTCTACATGGGTTTGATGTATCAGAAAACTCGATAAACAACATCGAGTGCCTTGGTGAGCTGAACAACATGAGAGATCTTGATCTCTATTGGTCAAGGACGGAGACCTTGGGGGAAGCAGAGAATCGCATGGATGCCTTGCGTTCTTCCCTCGAAAGGCTTTCACATTCCAGCAACCTAAAGAATCTTGTTCTGCAGAATCTTTCTTCGACGCTGCTGGTTGGTTGGAGCACACTGTCCTCTCCACCTCGCCATCTCCAGAAGCTTGATCTGTTTGGTTGTGTGTTTTCAAGGGTCCCCAAGTGGATGTGTCAACTGAGCGACCTCCACTGGTTGGTTCTTAGGGTTGAGAAGGTGGTCTCTTCCAAGGACGATGGTGATGTCGATATTCTTGCACGGTTGCCCTCTCTTATCCACCTTGAGTTGCAGATCGAAAAATGCCCAGAAGAAAGGGTCATCATCACCGGCAGCGGCACGGCGTTCCAAACTCTCAAGCACCTGAAGTTCTCTTGCCCTAAGCTGCTGCTGGCCTTTGAAGCAGGAGCCGTGCCCAGGCTCCAGCGACTCGAGCTGCGGTTCAGTATAAAGGGATGGCAACAAGGCAGCAGTGCGTGCCTGCCCGCTGGCATCGAGCACCTGCCACCTGGCTTCAGAGAAGTCAGTCCAATGCAGTTTGACCACTTCAGAGAGAGGCTCAATAGACGCGATGCAGCTGCTGCGAAGTCTGCACTGAGGAACGCTTTTGCATGTGTAGGAATAACAATGGTGAGAATCAGTGGAGGGGACGCTGTTCTGAAAGCCACAACCGCTTGTTCCACTAATAACACTGTACCAGATGAGCTCGCTATCCTCGGAGCAACAACAGAAATCAGTGACTATTCAAGCTGAAGACAAAGAGGAGCTGTGGAGATGCTGGGGGTTATGTCTGAGTTGCTCCTACTTAATTTCTGGTTGAACCCATTCTTCCTTGACATATGATCCATGCCGCCTTTAGTTCAGTCTATTAGCTCTTTATGTTTCCCCAAATCCTCAATGTCCGTGAAACAGTTTGATGATCACCTCACCAGGTCTGAGCTTATACTTTTTGGCTACCCTTAATGTTGCTATTAGCCTATTACGTTATTCGTTTTATCTCTGTTGCCTTCCATTAGCATATGTTGTACTACTAAGATCATCTCTATGTGCAGTTCGCGTAACTAACAATGGGTATTATTAGTTCGGACAAAATACTCACAACCGTACTTTGTAGTGTTACTGCTGTTTGTACCGAGCCACTGATTGATGTTTCATTTCAAGGTTCCATCCTCTTCTCTTGCCCTTCAATATTTTTCAGTACTATACTTCATTCAACTCTGGTGCTTAAGCTGTGGATATTTGCATTTATATGCGATCTCCTGTAATCATGAATACGTGTGATATATATGCAATAGGTAAACAAGCATGTGGTTGTTACTTTCTCAAATGATGATGTATTGCTGTGGTTGTTACTCTCTCCCCTGTAATCAAGCGTAGTGTTGCATTTTGGATGATCAATCAGTTAAATATAGCATTGCTTAAAACCTTGAAAATGATGATGCACTCCGACCATGATTTTCAGCAGTAACTTTTCTATAGCAATCTGACTATAAGAGTAATAGTTATTCAAATGTTTGTGTCAGTCAATTTGTATTGTTTATTTTCCTGTTGCAGTATATCTTGTGCAAAGTAATTTGACACAATCTTTTGGTCTTTGCACCTGGGCTGAATCAAAATAACTATATGCAGTGAATATTAGTAGATCATATACTACAGCCTGAACATGTCTATAATTAATCCAACAGATAAGTTTTAGTTGGCTCAACTAGAAAGATGCGTAGAATACCATTATCATTGTGTTTAACGATGCGGATACAGCTGACCACCATTTCTTGGTGGTGTTTGCCTTGTAAAAGTTTGCCTTCGGCAAAGAATAGATAATCGGTGCGACGGTCAAAACCATCAACTCCTTTGGTCTCTGTACTGAAATTGTAATGGATGTACCTCTCGTTCTCAGAAATAAAAAATTTGATTGCACAAAAGATCTTTGAGTTCATATGCAAGATCCTACAACAAGAAGCATGGATCGGGTGAGCAACCTTTGCATGAGTAAGACAAAAACATATGGTGCAGCCCCCTGAAAGATTGTGATCCTCGTTATACTGGTCCACTAAAGCTTGAACCATTAGGCGCTCTGGTTCGTGGCTTTTGTCAAATGCTAGGGGTTCATTGTACCATCAGGGCAGTAGAGAGATAGCCGTATAACACGATCCATTGGAGAAAGCTTGTCTAGTGACTCGTTGCGCCTGGTTAATTAATTAAATATATGATTAGTACATTGTATGTCGTAAAGAAACAGTCAACGTATCATGGTTCTATCATAAAACTTACATTTTCGGATCCTTCAGGTCCTCGAGGTGGCGGTCAATAGCATCTTCAGCTTCTTGCAGGCTCTTGAACGGCCCATCCAGACCAGGATACGCGTGGAAAGAACCCGAAAGGTCCGTCCTAATGTAAAAGGTGAAGTACCAAAAGTTACGTTTTATGACCAAGAAGCTATTGGATGTGGATATGGCAAGGGATTGGCAGTGGGAGATGGTTCCTGCAGTTTTGTAGTGAGCAGGAACTTGCTCAAGGACAAGACATCCGGTTGTTGCGTCGTCTGCACGGGTGGAGGAGAAGGAGAACACCTGAATCAAGTACAACAGTTGAGCATGCTCGAAGGCTCGGTGAGTAGAGATCCAAGAGGAATTACATTTTTACCATAAAGATGAAGTAATGATACATGTTTTCATTATGCTACGAAAAACAAAAGCTGGAAGATTTTTACCGGCCGAGAACGGTGCCCTGAGCTATTGGATGTTGATAGGGCAAGGGATTTGCAGTGACAGCCGGCTCCTTTGGTGTTCTAGTGAGCAGGAACTTGCTCAAGCATGAGGCATCCGACGGGGAGCACCTGAATCAAGTGGAACAGTTAAGCGGGCTGGATGAGCAGATCCAATAGCAATTATCATTAAAATGAGTTAACAATAATACATGTTACCAATGTTATGACCCAGAAGCAATGAGTTTAAATTTCTTTTGATGCTGTAATGTTGGTTATATCAGTACATGCCCTTCTTTTTCATGTCTATTAAGATAGAGCAGAATTTACTGGTGTATGCACTGCAGTCTTTAGGGGACAGGTCCAACAGAGAGGTTAATCTCTTTGACAGCTTTACATTATCAAGTACAAGTATGATCTAAAAAATCTGCTGCCATCCAGAAATCCGAGTGAAGCAGATGCGAGTCTATCAAACGGAGAGCCCTGAGCGATCGGTAAAAAAAAGAAAAAGCAATTCGATGCAAACTTTGAATGGACCTGCACGGTGTAGTTGAAACTGTCAAATTCAGATAGATGGCATCAAAATGCAAAACCCCTCTCTTTCCCAGAAGAGAAAAGTAGGTGTAGAATAGGATGAACTCACGACGGGAACATTTATGAAGTTGCGCCCGTGAAATCTGCCCATGACAGGCACAAAAGTACTTGTTCTTCCGTAGAAAAAAGAAGAAAAAAACAGCTCAAAAGTTCAATCGGTTGGCTGGACCTATGTGAAGCGAGCAGAAAGGTCGGACTGTGAGCCATCACACTATATAATACTCCCTCCGTCCTAAAATAAGTGTCTTGAGCTTAGTACAAATTTGTACTGGAGCTAGTATAAAATTGAGGCACTTATTTTGAGACGGAGGGAGTAGCAACTACGGTTCGACGTGCACTTGTTGCTACTGCAATGCTATATATGCATGCATGCCCATTGTTTACCTGAAGGTGCCTTTCTTCAGGATGGCTTACGGTTCTGTGCTTCAGCTCTCCACGGTTTGTTGTGAGCTCATCCAATATTTCAGAGTCGTCTCTGCTGTCGCAGCTTCCTGAATTTGAGCCATCTTCACTATGGTAAATCAGAATTTGGAGCTAAAATGCAGTCAGGTCTCAGGATAGATGGAGAGGGGAATATCTTCAGTCTTTTCCGTAAGGCAGGGGGGGCAGTGCCCCCCCTCAACACATTATCTGACGGAATGACTTTAGATGCACGTACCATAAATCCAAGCACCAAAATGTCATAATGGTAGGCCGAAGGCTTCTTCAAATTAAACTCAACTCCTTTTGCTGAGCCAACTCTCTATCACATCGCCAGTTGAAAGGATGTCGTTGATTTGAAGAAGTGTGGTGTAACATGGGGGTTCGGTTTGCACTAAATTATACTAGTAGATTAAACAAAATACAGGGAGCAACAGAAAACGTGTGACCAACCTATGCCATACAGCCATGACCTTGCACGCCTAGTCTTCAGTACAGTGTACAGCAAACCAATGGAAAATATAGAGTTTGATACCAAAAATTGGCATGCCAACATTTGGCAAATGCCAAATTTTGTCCAGTGCTTGGTTGGCTACCATGTTTCCTTGCCAACCTCACAAAAAGTTGCCAACTATTGGCAACTTTTGATATTGCCAATTGTTGGCTTGCCAAGTATTGGCAATGCCAAATGTTGGCATCAAACCAATTATGCTCTACACCAAGTAGGCCATTGACATAATACGGCGGAAGGGGGGAGGATGAAGCGAGAGCGGACATACGGAGGGCCAGGTAAGGCCGAGCGACGGCAGGGCGTGCTGTCGCCGGAAAGGCCAGGCTTCTCCATTGCCACCCTCGAGAATCCAACTGCTGATCGGACGAGTCTTCTTCACGGACGAGTCTTCTCCATTGCTACCAGTGCGTCGGCGGATCTGAACGTTCGTGTGACAGGAAGAGGCTCATCGCGATCTGTTTGTGTACGCAGGATCGGTCGGCCGGTTCCGAACCGTACCATATCTGTACTCCTCCTTAAGATTCCATGTTTCACTTTCCTTCTTGCCATCCTTCGTTCAACCTTCTCCATGGAATAAAATTGTATGGGACGGGGCCTCATAGTCTCCCGCGTGAGGCCCCTCTCCAGATTTTAACATGTCACCCTTTGCACACATCTCAAAGCTACTTAAAATTCCCTAATCGCAAGATACGTGTCTGAGAAAAGGTATAGCAGTATCGACCCAGAAATTTCCATCTAAGAAAGGAAGCTAGCGATCATCTCCCCCGCCTCTACGACCACTCTCTGCACAGGATCGCCGGGGATGACGAGCTGCTCACGGAAGCGGCGGCGATGTACACTGCAACGGTTTCCCCACTACCACGCTCGCCACCCGAGAACGCCGGCCTGATGGAGAGCAGGAAGCGTTTGCCGTCCAACCCACCATCGCAACGGGGGCCCCGGCCGAGAGCCAAACATCTCCCCATCGCTGAACGCCAGAAAATGTTGGCAGATTTGTGGTCATGGTGTCATTCAGAGATGTTAAAATTCAGAGAACTATATGTGATTACAATACCTCTGTATTGTAGGTTTTCAACATTCAGAAATTTTGCCGCATTACAATTGATGTTGGGCTACTCCAAAAAATTTGTGGTACGTAACATGCCATTTGTATAGCAATATATTTACGTAAGTGAATGGAATTCCAGTGTCAACCTTGAGACTGATGAATGAATACAAATTCAGACTGAATGTTAACAATGATAGGTTTGTGGTCATGGAGACCGTGGACATCATCACGACGGGGAGCACACGCAGGGAGAGGTCGCGACGGCGCCGCCGCTTCCGTGAGGGACGACGAGCCCGTCATGGTGAGCGGAGCATGGAGAGGTAGCCATGGGGGCCAGGTCGCGGCGACGGCGCCTCGACGTCTGGAGCGGCGGAGACTGGGCGAGATGATCGCTATCTCTGGTTTGTTAGATGGAAAGTATTGATTCGATTGATTGATTGTGTATTGTATCCATACTGCTGTCCCTAGAATTAAAT